TGATTTTTTTGACAAAAAAATGCAAAACGGAGTACGTAACTCCGAAACTAAAAAGTGGCCAAACCCAATTCGCAGTACATCAGAGCGCGTCAGACCATTATTTGTTTTCGGATTTGCCAGGTCCGAATGCATAGGATTAGATTTCCGGGTGATTGGTTGGCTACATTTCATCGGATAATTTTTTCTTGTTATAAATTAACCTTCCCTATCTGCCTCCTCCCATACCTTCAAGCACTCCTCTCAACCCCTCTATTGAAAGGTTAGTAACTCAATATTCCTCTTCCTCCTCCTCCTTATTATTATTATTATTATTGCTAGATACAATTTGTATTATTAATGTGTGCATATATTTATTTATGACTTAAAATATTACCGAGTAAATTGTAAGTAATAAGTGTAGTAATCTTTTCTTATTATTATATTAGTAGTAATAATTGTAGAAAACAGGTTTAATATTTCTATAAAAGTAGGTGAATAGAAAAAATGACATACTACGTATAACTTAATGGTCTTATAAATTATTACGAAGTATTTGTTATGTAGTACTCTGTAGTAGTTAACCCTTCCTTATCAAAATAAGTGTCTTACTTCCATTTTAGGTGTATTACTTACTACAGATTTACTAATTATAGTTAAGACTTTGTATTAGTCGTAGACGCAATATTTGTAAATATTTATTACAATGCATTGTTATTTATTGTTGTTCTCGCCAATATTATAAATTATGGGATTGTAGAAATTGGTATATGTATTTAAGAAATTCATAAGTTGTTAAAAAATATATAAAATATTTAAGAAATTCATAAGTTGTATTGGTAAATATATAATTCATATTAATATTAAAGTAGTTATAAAATAATAGTGGACACATCAAAATATAACGTTAGTTTTACTGTTAAACTACATAAAATTTTTGAACACATTTAATGAATGACTTAAAAACATGAAAAAAAAATTAGTTTATGTTTGCTTGTTAATTGTAGGTTTGTAATGGCCGAACGAGTTGCACACCCAGGGCCTCAGGATCGTTCGGTGTTATTTATGCTATCCGATGAGCATCGTGCCGATCGTGTGTGGCATGAATCATCATTTCGTGACGTCAAACTGAAATGCCATCACTATTCGAGAGAAGCCTACGTTGAGGAGGGTCCGCGTCATCCTGGGGTGGTACAGTTGCTGAGAGTATCGGGGTTTCATGGTGTGGAGAGAATAGGACAATTGCAGTTAGATTGGTCTCTTGTGACTGCGTTAGTGGAGTCAGACACAAATTCAACTTAAAATACAAATATTGTATGATTTTTAATTATGTTGAACAAAATACGATTTATAACAACAATTATAAAACAAACTTCAAAACACAAAAATAAACACAACAAACAATCCGTATTAAAGGCAACAAAAAAATACTCCTATTATATATACTTTACTAATTCGGATCTGCCAACTCCGAAAATGGTCTGCCACCATAATTTTTGGAGTCCATTTTCGAGCTTGGTAACTCCGAAAACGAGTTTCGTACTGACAAGATAAATTCGGACCTGCCAACTCCGTTTTGCACTCTCTCAGAAAACGTCAAAAAAATTGCACTTTTTGAAATGCAATGTAAAAAATGTGCTCTTTTCTGTCAAACACCCATGTGGGAGTATTTTATGGGCATCTTTGGTATTTATTCTCATTTCCAGATAATTACTACTAGGCAACTTCTCATGACTTGGTGGCTTAAAGGCTGGGAGCAAAAAAATCAGATCTTTTTAAACATAACCTACCTGGCATGAAATGCTGGCATATTTGGAAATCCTACATTAATATCATTTGGGATTCTGGAGGATCTCTCCCATCTACTGATAATCTAATTACACAAAATAAACTGTATACCCAAAGCTGGGTATCCAGTCTGTCCTCATACAAATGGGATATGGTGGAGACTGGAGAGCTATCTATACGAGGAACAACTGATTCCCAGGTTCTTTAAGCCCTCCCGACCGGGAATTTCAGTAGTCAAACTGTCAAACGGAGAAAGCCATTACAGGGGCTCAAATTGAACATTGATGCCATGTTCTTCACCCCTAAACGTCTCTTCAAGCTTTGAGGCGGAACTTCTCTCTATCATTCTGGCTACCATATGGGCGTTAAGTGATGAATTCCAAGTCGAATCCGACTCCATGCAAGCGGTGCGGTACATTTTGGAAATTGGAGAAGGAAGGTGGAGGAGTTCGTATACCGTGAGATCATCCTAGTGAGCACCCTGCTCCTGCTCTCAAAACGACACAGTTTGCACAATTTTTAATTAGAAATTTTCACGCGTGAACAGTAGCAGAATGATGTAACTCGCGTGTACAGAAATGTAACACACCTTAATAAGAAATGTCAATGCAAGCAAGTCGAGATGTAACTTGTCTAAAATATTGATTTCAATGTAAATAATAAAAAAGGAATCTAATTGCTAAATAATTTTACCTAAATGGGGAATATGTTTTTTTTTAATATTAAGACCGTAAAAAGTTTTAAAGAAATCACATTTTCCCCAAAAAATCTGTTTTTTATTGCAAAAAAATTGATCCATTTTTTTTGTTTCAATAAAAGGAGTTTATTTTGTGATGTAACCCGCATTATGGAAAATGTAATTCGGGTTGATGTAAAATCTAACGTAGGTATATGTAAAATGTAATTTGTTAAGGCAAGCTCAAATGTGACTCTCGCATAAAAAGATGTAACTCAGACATAATAAAATGTAACTCGTAAATAATAATATGTAACTCCATATAATATTAAATGTAAGTTGCTAAGAGAAGTCCAAATATAACTCGAGCACATAAATGATGTAACTCGCGCACAAAAAAATGTAACTTCAAGTATTTTTGAATGTAACTTGAGACAAGTCAAAATGTAAATTGTCGAATAAATTTTTCTCACATATACACACTCCACATCTAAATTATTAAGGTTTATTGCTCTTCCCCCGATAAAAAAAAGGTTTATTGCTCTTCCCCGTACCACAACAATAAAAATTGAAGAATAATATCAACAAGGCAAGTTTGCAACGTTGAGAAAGTTAGAAACAATGCATAGCCGCTGAATCCAACATTTGAATGTTCTCTTTCGACTTAGCTCTGTTTGTGAATCCAACATCCGTGCAACATCAGAAAGTCAGACAATTTACTTCAATACGCCTAATTGCTGCATCGGTGCAACCAAATTTAGGGCAGGCGATTGCACCAACGGCGGAGGAGATGATTTCTGGAAACACTCCTTTAATTTCCTTGTGCGGTAGCCTGTGCAGTGGGGCAACGGCGGAGCTTCTGGTCTAGAGCTAGAGTATGGCAGAGTTCCATGGAAAGGATAGAGATGAAATAGGGAAAGAGACAAAGTAACGAGATTAGATTTTTTTAATATAAAAAACGGTACCGTTTTGGGATCGGTACACCGTGCTCACGGTGTAACGATCCCACGGTATAATTTCGAAGGTGGAAAGTCTCAATTCAGGAAATGTTATTAATGGTAAAGGAGAGAGGGGTTTCCTTTTCTCATTCCTTGCATGAAACTAATTGCATGAAACTAAGGTTAAGAATGCATATCTTATGGACCTTTTGGTATACCTTCTCTTAGAATTATTTAATGTAATTTTCATTGGGTAAGGCCTAGCCTCCCCCCCCCCCCCCATTTTATTGCTATTTTTTCCTTTTACTTTCTTATTGATTGGGTCAGGTCTACCCCCAGTCTATATCTTTGACGTTTTTCTTATTGTATCTCAAGGAGGTGTGCCTTATCCGAAGGGGTTTTGGACTAGTCCCCCCTTCTTGTTGTTCCACCCATTTATTTTCAGTAAAACTTTGGTAAATGTTCCCCGGCATTTACCTCACAGATTTTGGTGGTTTGCCTATCGGGTTATTGAAAGAAAAAAATAGAATTTCACCAGATTTTCATCGTTCCACACTCTATCTACGAGTTTCCCACTAATGGTACATAATTAGTAGGTTTTGGTCCCAATTACTTCCTTGTCTCTATAAGGCCCCTTCCAGTTCTTAGCAAACTTTTCACCTTCTTGAAGTCATCTTGTTGATTTTTGTTTGAGGACTAAGTCCCTGGTAATGAATGAGCGAGACCGGACTCTAGCGTCGCGGTATTCCTTTACTTGATGCCGGTAATTCTCAGCCCTGATCGATGGAATCCCATTGGTACTGGAAATAAAGTATTACTACCATTTTTTCAAACCTAAGACTTTAAGAGCGTCAGTGATATAGAATGTCAATGAGACAATGATGTATTTTCTTTGATTAAGCAATACTCCAATCAGTCCATCCTCATTCCTTGGTACTTCAATGCCTATGATGCAAGATTTTTTTATCAAACCCTTTATTTACTTTTTAAATTTGAGCATGATAGAATCATATTTTAAGAAAAGTGAATAATCTTTGTTATGACTTCTGCAAACCCAAACTCAAGAAATATTATGTTAAGTTAAAGGAAATTGTTTACTAAAAGATGAGAAAAGAGGCAAATAAGCCCTTGAACTATTTGTAATTATGCAATCAGACCTCTGAACCGGAAGACTTGCAAATACATCCCTCAACTCCTTGAAAATTCAGCAATCAGGCCCTTTTTACCTGCTGGTGCTGATAATTTCTCATCTTCTTACGTGCACCAGGAGGTAAAAAGAATCTAATTGCACAAATTTCTATAAGTTGGGGGGTGTATCTGCAAGTCTTCGAGTTCATGGGTCTGATTGCAAGATCGTAAATAGTGTGAGGGCTTTTTTGCCTCTTTTCTCCTAAAAGATTAAGGTCAACATTACCTTTTTTTTTCTTCATTTTAGCTAATGGCATACATACATACACATAAAGCTCAATCTACCAATAACATATTGGCAGTTGTGGTAAATTTAATATCTTCCCTTGCCCATAAATTCCCATTTCAATCAAACACACCATGAAATTTTCGACGCAATTTTCACTATGCATTGAAAACCGTCTCTCTGTACTTTAGTACAGGGATAAGACTGCGTACATCCGACCCCACCGTAGGTGGGAGCCTTTGAGGCACTAGGGTAATGATGATGATGATGGTGGTGGTGGTTTGAACTATATATATATTGAAGATGTGGCATATACAAAACTGAATGACACTTGTAAGCTGTACGTGTACATGACTTCACAATCCAAATCTTTGTTTTTTGGGAGGTGAAAAACCGTGTCATTTGTTTACCAAAAAATCAGGTACACCAGAGTGAATGAAGCGTTCTTTGTGAGTACTATATATGAGAAAGTAATTTTGTATTGTCACCAGTGGTATACCAGATCCAGTGACTGTACATAACTGTGTCTTTTTCTTTACTAGTCCTCCTCATTGCCCCCGACGTCCATGTCTTCATCTCCCAACTCAGGTCCTTCTTGATAGGCATCAAGGGCAGCCCCCCCATCGATATCCATTTCACTTGCTTCTGTCTCAAGCATCCCTTCTCGTGCTTTGTCTGTTACCCATGTTGTTGCCAACTTCTCATCATTAAAAAGGTCGTTGTAGGGCTTGGAGACCTATTAGTGCAACAAGGACAGTGAGATTTAATGAATGAATTGCTAGAAATTGAACTTGATTTAGCTCATAATAATTAAATCCACTAGAAGTCAACTCATTGAGCTGAAACTTGTATGAGCAGAAATTAAATTAGTTAGCTCATGTAAATGATAGAGTTAGTAGAGAAAGATCTACAACTCTTTAGCTAGTAAATGTACTAAATAAATCTAGAATGTTTCTTAATGTAGAGGCTTGTAGAATATTGTAGAATGTTGAAGATGTAGAAATGCCTAAAAGGATTCTATGAGATATATACATAGAGCACTCTTCACTCATTTATAACATAAGCAAAAATGCTCAAAATCGATATGAGTTTGAAGTTCTCCCAAAATCATCTCTCTCAAATTCTCTCTTTCACACACAACTACCCAAATTCACTCTTTTCTTCTAACAATTGATATCAGAACCACCAAACTTTCAAGAAAAATGAATGCCGTTGACTTAATTCCATTCCAATTTCCTTGCCTCACTAATGAAAATTACTCGGTTGCTGCATTCGCATGAAAGCCTTGCTAGAATCTCTAGATGCATGGGAAATCATTGAGAAAGGTTATGAGTATCTCAAGATGAAGTTACTTTGAATCAATCCGAAAGAAATAGTCTCGAAAAGAGTAGGAGGAAGGATCAACAAGCACTCACTCTTAGGATGTTTTTACTTGGACTAATTTCAGTCCCTAACGAGACCATACCAAATTTAAATAGATCAAATCAGACTTAACCAAATCAGACAAAACCAAACCATACATCAATAGTTGTAAAATACTTCCTCGATTCTTAAATAATTGCAAGGTCAACTTTTCACATTTGCCAATACACAACTTTAACCATTAATAATTTAATATTAATAATTCTCTATTAGTAAAAATATTTAAAAATTAGATTTTTAAAATTTACAATGAGACAAATTTAACAATATTTTTTAAAAAAATTATTAATACATTAATAAATTAAATGTAGTCAAAGTAGAACATGTGAATAGTATAAAATTCAACATGTTGCACTTGTTTAAGAACAGAGGTAATACACAAAGACCAAATATCTACCGGACCAAACTCATATCAAACTAGAAAATTTCAATCCAAGTAAAAACATCCTTATATACCAATGCTTAGATGAGGTCATGTTCAAAAAGGTTGCAAATATCACCACTTATAAGGAAACATGGACAATACTACACAACTCTTTCCAAGGACCCGACAAGGTGAAGAGAGTTTGCATTCAAACTCGTAGAAGTGAATTTGAACTTCTAAAAATAAAAGATCATGAATCAATATACAACTATTTCTCTCTGAGTATTGATAATTTTAAATGAAATGAAGAAAAATGATGAGGAACTAAATGAGATAATGGTGATTGAGAGAATTCTTCGCTCTATCACAAAAAACATTGATTATATTGTGGTGACCATAGAAGAGTCCAGGGACATAGAGTCCACGACCACTAATCAACTTTTGGGCTCACCGTAATAAATAAAAAAGAGCATGTGACATTTAGATATCGAAACAAGCAACCACATAGCAGGAAATAAGAGCTTGTTCGTGAAGGTGGAACAAATGCAAGGTCATGTCACATTGGGAGATAAATCTAAAGTTGTGATGAAAGGTAGAGGTGTTCTATTTCGTCTAAATGATAGAAGACACCAATTCAATTTTTATGCTTACTACTATGTGCGTAACTTGAAAACGAATATTTTAACTTCCAAGTACAGGGTAATATTCACTTAAAAATTAAGTCTTTCTCTAAGAGCCAAATGTTTGAAAAGGCTTAATGTGATGGATCCAGAAAAGTAGTGAGCTCAATAATACAAAATAGGGAAGGTCAAGGACAAGGTAACATAATTCAAATAAGTTAAAGTCCAATGATGTATGTTTTTCTCAAAATATGGGATTATTAGGATCGATGGAAAGCAGGATTTGCAAAGTGGTAGGAATTATTTAACCTTGAAAAGTGCGTTTCTCTCCTCTGCACTTTTTATCAGGTTTCCCCAATGCTTGTCTCTCTTTAATGTTGATGCCGAACCTACAACCTAAACGTTAAAAAAAAACTTGTAAATGTTGTGGAGCATTAGTCATGTGATAATACTCAAGCTCTCGCTTGGATATAATTTGCACAGGCCAGTACCAGGACGGAGGACCTAGCTCTAGTGATAGCAACATTCATTCGTCGGAAATCCTCCACGAATCCAATATGTCCATCTTCACTTGCTCGGACACATGAGAAGATTGCAACATCTTTTTCACGCCCCTGAAAGAACATTGTAGAATAATTCATTCCACCCAACAACAAACATATTCTTCCCAATTTACAAGTGCAAATAGCTTATTCTATGAATATTAAGGACACAAGTGATCTGTGATCAATTTTACCCTTAAAAGAGTGGATAATCTTTAATAATTGTGTGATTGGGTAAACATGTCAAATCATAAGAGTACCTTTGAAAAGGTAAAAAATAGTGGAGTTCAAAAAAACCAGGCATAGACTCATAGAGCGAGCAATGTGTGCCAAAACACATGTCTTAAGGATCACTCTAAAGAGCATATCAATGCCGTAACTCTCATTCAATTCGAGGCAGAGGCATGCTAGGTCCCAGCCCAAATTTCAAAAACCTTTGAATATTAACATATAAATTCGTATAAAGTATATCTAAAAGTTCTTTCTACCAGCCCAGCCCAATTTATACCCCTAGCTATGCCACTAATTGGAGGGTCAGGTGAAGGCAATAATCTATTCCACCTTTCCCAACAGAGAGTTGAACTCTAGCTTTGGGTATCACACTTAGTTTAATGCGTCAAACCCCCTCGTGATATACAAATTCTACACATTAGCCCCTTGTAATTTGAAAAGTGTGTCAAATCCCCTCGTTTTATAATTAATCATGTACTCCCTCCGTCCCGCTAAGATTGTCCCATTTTACCTTTTCGGGAAGTCCCACTAAGATTGTCCCATACCAAATTTGGTAAAGATTGTGTGGCTCTAAACCATTCTTACTTTATTCTTACTTTATCAATTTAATATCAACCACACAAACTCACTTTTCTTAATAATCGTGTCACCTTCTTCCGTCCCAATCTTAGTGGGACGGAGGTAGTACATAACATCCCAAAAATAACAACTTTAGCGATTTGAAAATCATGTGTCTAAATGTTATGATTGAAAATGCAAGTAAATTTGTTAAGACCTATATTTATACAATAATACTAATCATTTTTCTTTTAATAAGAAATTAAAAATTGTTATTCGAGGGGGGTGCGCATGGTTAATGATAGCCCAGAAGAGTTTGACGCATTTGTAATTTACAATGGGCTAATGTATATAATTATACTTCACGAGGAGGTTTGGTACATTAAACCCCACTTATATACTAGACCAAAATACCAAATAGAAACCAACCTGTGATACTCAACACTTGTGGAAATCACATCATCATGTGTACTTTAAGGCTTTAAGCATACTAATTAACATAAAATAGATGGGAGCAATTTGAGAGAGGAACCTAAAGGATACCTGGAATCCATCAACTGAATTCACATCAACAAATTTGTGTGAATCCACCCCAAATATTTCACGAAACTTTTGTTGTATTATCTTGACTTGATGTCTGTAAGGTGATATAATTGCAAGTTTGGAGCTTGACTTAAGCTCCGGATACCTAGTTACCAATTCACGATAAATCACAAGCACAAACTCCACCTCATCCACATTCATCCAAGAGCCACTTCCCGCGGGCTTAGACTCTTTGCCCTCGTGTATGTCAAAAAAACAAAAGGGTCCAAAGCAGCGATAATTATGCCATTTGCGCTTTGTAAGCACTTCAATATCCGGTCCATCCTCTAATGCATCGTCATAAAATTCTCTAGAAGGAAAGCTCCGTATCTTCATCATTAATAATTGGATATAAGTGAATAATGTGTCCGGATGGAAAAAACTTTCCTCAAGGCGGTGGTACGTTTCAGAAATATTAATACTCCCTCCATTCAAAACATAAAGAGACATGTTTCAAAAGTTTTTGTCCCAAAAAAAGAGTCATGTGATTTTCTAAATAATATTGCAAACAAGTTAATATATTTATTTAAACCAACAAATAGATTATAAAAATACAGGTAAGATTTCATGATGTTTAATAGTTGTACGTAGCTCAAACTTAGAAGTTGCATCTTGACCAAATAGGCCTTTTTGGACAGGGGAAGTAATAATTTTTCAATTGACAAGCAAAAAGGACTCACAAATGTTGCCAAAAGCATCGCCATCTCATGGTAAACTAACTTATCTGGATGTGTGTGTGGGTGTGTACTAAAAACCCCTAAAACCGTACTGAAGTTTGCTAGTCAAATTGTCATAACGCAATCACGATAGTACATTGTCAAACTTCAACAAACCTCTGGATGCATACGATACTGCGTCTTCAGCATCTGCACTGGATAGCCAGCCATCTGCAGTCTTTGAAACAAACTTTTCTCATATCTATCATCAGAACAAAAAATAATAAGCTTTTCATGATCAAATTTCCAAATGCAACTTAACCAAGCCACTTTACAGGGGGCTTGGTGCAAGTTACTCCCCTTTTCCAGGCACTTGACGTGGATTCATATTCCAACTCTCCCATTACCCATCATGTGTACCCCCGTGCCCCTACAAAAACCTCAAAAAAATCACTTTACCCAAATTTCTTAGCAACATCAGAGGTTACTGTTGCTGGCAATTGCACTGGATCACCCACCTGAAGGAGAAAAGGTTCAAAAAGAAAACGATGAGATATTGTCACTTCAAATATATATATCACTGCATGGAGAAATATTTTCCTAATATTTCTATTATTGCTCCCTCACTCCCTTTATGTTTGCAGTTCAGAAAATTGGAATTATAAATTTCTCTCCAAACAGACTTGCAATTTTGTGGCTTAGAGTTATACAATAGCGACTATTGTGGTTTAGTATTATTATAACTTCCTTTCCGAACAGACTTCCAAATTGTAATGAGGCAACAAAGATCTACAATCAGCGACCAATACTCTTATCCTACTTAAATTATTAAAAAAATCCCTATGTTACATACCTTCATATAAGGCAACGTTTAGTGGTCAGTTCCAGCTAATTCTACTAATATAAGTGGCTTTTGACTTATGTACAGTGTTATAGAAGGTAGGCACAAGACGAATGGGAGAGGAACTACGCTGACTATAGTTTTTTGGTCTTTGTTGTATGGTTGTTTAGATTTTTTTTTTAAATCTGTCTACCTGACTAACGCATTTTACAAGTTAGAAATACTAATTTATTGGAAAAGACAAATGCATATCAATCTTAAAGAATGAGATGAAAGACCAAAATACTGTGAACCAAAGAAGTTTACAAGTTCTCAACAACTCAACACTATACAAAACAAAAAGATAGCATACATTGTTCCTAATTCCATGTGGTATATTATATGATATACTCCCTCTGTCTCAAGGTTCTCGCTTTTCTTTTCTAGACATCCCATATAAAGGTTCTCATTTCTATTTTAGAAAACAATTAACACTCTTAAATGACAATTTAATCATCAAATATTAAAATTAAAATATAATACATCTATAACATCACCGTTATCATCAAAGACCCCATTATAATATATGCTCCATCCGTCCCACTATTATGATCCTGTTGCGGTTATGATGCTTGACCGACGATAAAGCAAATGAATCCCTGTCCGCACTCAGATTATTTTTAGAAAAAAAATTACATATTCAGAAACTACATTAAAAATTTTAAAAAGTCGCAAAAACCAGAATCAAATTTGATAAAAATGTGATATATTTAAAGTAAAAGATTAAGAGTGATTTGTATTGACCAAGTGAATAGGAACTGGGACAATAATAGTGGGACAGAGGGAGTACTCATCAAAATTATTTCTCAATATATACTCGAATTACCTTATTTAATTATTGTCTAAATAGTCATGCCATTTTGCAATTGGAACCTTTAAGCGGGCGGAGGTAGTGTCTATTATTGATGTATTTTTGTTTAATACTCCATTCACTTTTACTCGCTCCAGGAGGGAACTCACAAAAACTAAGAAGTGATGTTGTCGTGTTGGTGATTACTTTGAATAGTATAGAAAAATGAAAAAAGCTGGAGAAGATAAAAAAGTGGGAAAAGCAAGGAAGAGAACATACAAACCTAACAAAAGTAATTGTATTTATATCTTTTGATATGGCGGAAGTTAACAAAAATGGATAGTGGATAAGTAATAATCAACTTCCATAATAGGAGAGCGTGGGATGTAAAAGTGAAAGGAGGTAGTATAAAAGGTGTGAATAAAACGCCATCATTTCAGACAAATCTAAACCTTATAAATTTAACAAAATAATTTGGAGCGTCTAGGAGCAGCTGACCCATTTTTTCACCCCGTTTGGAAAATTTAGGTATCCATTTTCCATCAAGCACCTAGGTGGCCACTGCTTTGGCTAAATGGATTAACCAAATGTTTTTCCTTTAAGACAATTATTATATTGTAAGTTTTCGATAACTTATGGCAGTTGCCGGCCATAACCTTCTACAAAAGGTACACTATATTTTTTAAAAACTCAAGTGGCCCACAATGCACAATATATGAAGAATTTGCATTAGAATAACTTAGTACTAAAGCATGATGTTCAAGTATGAATCCAAGACATAAATAAGATAAGGAATTTGAAAACAAATTAACAATTTTACAATGACACAAAAATCTCACATTTGAAAATAGCACTTCATGTGATAGCATACGGAATGTGAACAAAAACATAAATGGATTGCAGAAAAGATAAAACTGCATGTGTATGGATTTAGATACATACTAAAAAAACTTGTTTGCATCCATTGGCCAATGGAATAAGAGTTGATGGTTCTACCTGTAGCAAGACATAGCAAAGGATAAAAGGTGTGTAAACAATCAATAGAAATCGCAAGCAAGAGCTCACAATATCGTAAAGGTTGTAATAACTTACAGCTTGAGCAGCTTCATCAATTATGACAACATCAAAACCATGATTCAATTTACTAAAGAGGGGAGAACCGCTAAAGCTTAGAGTAGAAAAGACCTGCGTAAAATTAAGAGTTAATAACCATCAAGTCCCACAATACATATTTGGTACTATATAAGAAAGGTATTTTTTTTCTTTTCACCAAGTTTAGACCTACATTCGGACTAATTATGTGATTGGACCCAAATTCAATAAGCATAGAAAAATGTCTTTCTTAAATTGGGCACACAATGCTTGAGGAGTAGAGGAAGAAACTGAATTCAAAAGAAAGTTGATGACCAATTTGGGAAATAGTTTGAAGTCGGGGACCATATCAGGTGTTAACTCCTATCTAGTTAAATCGTTATTGGGTGGCAACTCTGTTAAGGGCTGAGTAGCGATTAGGGCAGGTTACTCGGGATTATTCAGTGATTACTTAGCTCTAAATTAATAAAATTACACATATATATTCCACGAAACTCTAGTAACTTAGGAGCCTTATAGGTATTTTATACACACACACACTTGCGGTGGTTTGGTAATGTGCGTAAAAAACTGAATGATATGAGAGGTGTGGAAAAGAGGCGGGAAGGAGAGGGAGAGGAAGACACAATCAGAAGTAGATTAGAGGAGTTATATGTTGCTTCTTGGATTGGATGAGGGTTTGGCTTTGGGAAGAGCAAAGTGAAGGGAAGAGGGTATTCAATATTCATGTGACGGATTGATCTCTTTATCATCTTTTTTCCCTTTATCTTCTTTTTATTTATTGTGTTTTTATCCCTTTATCTTTTTTCTTACATACCATCATTTGCAATGGAGCCAAAGACTCACTATTTTTTTACTTTGGAATATGATGGAATAAAACAAAATGGCTCACTAAACTGTCTGCACTTCTTTGTTATGAAGCAGCAGTCAATCCATGCAATTTTTGACGCGATTTTCACTATGGATCATCTGGAAACAATCTATTTGTGCTTTAGTACAAGGGTAAGGCTGCGTACAACTGACCCCCTTACCCCATCGTATGAATATGATGATGAATGATGATAGATCTTTTTTTATATAACCGGGGTCATTCACCTTCTTAGACAAGTTGTGGAGAAATATATAGACACTAAAAAGGATTTGCATTTGGTGTTCATTGACTTAGAAAATGTATATGATAGGGTACCTCGAAAATTCCTTTGATGGGCCTTAACTAGAAAATGCATACCACGTAAGAATATCAGTATACTCATGGATATGTATGAGGCTTGTACTAGAAGTGTCCCTACTAGTGTGATGTAGGGAGGACTGCAGAGTTTCGTATTGCTATCGGAGTGCACCAAGGATCAGCTCAAAGTCATTTCTTATAATTGTTATAGCATGGATGAACTTGCAAAGTCAATTCAAGAAAATATATCGTGGTGCATGATATTTGTCGACGATATTGTATTGATTGATGAGACACAATCGGGTGTTAAAACAAAGTTAGAAGTATGGCGACAAACATTGGAGACCAAGGGTTTCAGACTGAGTTAAAACAAGACTGAGTATATGGAATGCAAGTTTGGTGAAGGTAGAAGTAATGGTAACAGTGGGATTACCCTTGATGGCAAGAAGATACTGGTGGGTGATATGTTCTGTTACTTGAGGCTCCATAACTTAAATGGATGGTGAATTAGATGAAGATGTATCTCATAGAATCAGAACATGGTGGATAAAATAAAGAGTGCATCAAGATTTCTATGTGATAGAGGTATGCTGACTAGACTGAAGGATAAATTTTATCGGACAACAATTAGGTCTGCATTAATGTATGGCATAGAGTGTTGTATGGTGAAGGATAAATTACGCATATGTTGCGTTTGATGTGTGGATATACCAGAAAATACTGCTTGAGTAATGAAATAATCAGACAAAATGTGGGAGTAGCACTTATAGAAGAAGATAAGATGTAGGAGTCGTGATTGTGGTGGTTTGGTCATGTGTGTAGAAGACTGACGGGTGCACTTGTTAGACGAGTTGAGAGGTGGGGAGAAGAGGCGGGGAGGAGAGGGAGAGGAAGACTCAAACGGAATTGGATTAAAGGAATCGGAACTGATATGCTTCTTCTTGGATTGGATGAGAGTATGGTTGTGGAGAGAGCAAAGTGAAGGGCGCATATTCGTGTGGACAAATGATCTTTTTTCTCTCTGTTATCTTTCTTATGTTCTTTTATCTTTTTATTTTTTATCTTTCTTATGTTCTTAGACGGAGTATTATTTTTATCTTATATTTATCTTTATCTTATCCATTTTATCTTACTTTATCTTTTTATTTTTATTTTATCTTTCTTCTCTTTTTTGCCCTGATATCAAAAATCGATTCATGTTAGCCGACTCCAAAATCTTTTGGGAATAAGGCTTGGATGTTGTTGATCTTTTTATATTTTATACATATATTCTTTTAATCCTTTTATCTTATCATTTTATGTATATCTTATCTCTATTTTATATTATCTTTTTTATTGTTTTGATCATACCTTATCTTTTTATTTTATTTTCTTTTTGGCTCTGATATCATGTACTACGTAATAATAATTTTAGTCAACCCCAAAATCTTTTGGGACTAAGACTTGGATGTTGTTGTTATACACACACCAAGCAACCAAAATAATCCTTAATACTTCAGGTTTAAGAAATCAAAGGCGAATAATAGAAAAAAGAAGAGCAAGAAGCTAGAATAAAAAGAAGATGAAGATGATGAAGAAGTTCACTGTGAGAGCTGTGTCATTTAAATGATCTGTAAAATTACCTTTGCACTTTCAAAATCATTGATTTTCTGATTTTATATTTTGATTTACTCTAATAAAGTACTTATTTATTTTTAAATCCCATAGTATCCCACTTTAGTTTCAAATTTAACATAAAAAATAACTTTAGCTGACTGAGTTACTTGGTGTGTAATCTGACTCATTTGAGTCACCGAATCTCAGAAGTTGCCGAGTACTAGGCGATTAACTCAAAATCTTGGAGACTTGGAATGAACTAAGTGGGTACCCTACTTGACAAAGTCTTACTCTACTCGAAATCTTGGTTGAGCAGCTTAATCAATTATTCACCGAGTACTTGGTGATTACTAATCGCTGATAGATAACATAGATTAACTCTATAATTAATCACCAGCTCATGATGTTTTAACTTTTAAGAATTAACAGAGAGCACCAAGAGACTTACAATCACAGCTTCGCTTAAAACAGAAGCGCGAATACTATCTATATCCTTTGTTTCTCCTTGCTTTTGTTTATCACCAGTTTGCATGTCGAGGCCCACCATTTTTTGTTCCACCTACATAGAAATGTCATGAACATCAAAACAGTAATCTTGGAGTCACGGGGTATGTTTGGATCAAAGGAAACACCAAGGAAAGATGTTTTCTTGTGTTTGGTTTACCTCACGAGTTGCTAAGAAAAATGAGATGACTAATTCTAGGGACTTATGGAGACATTAGATTTGGACATTGTAGGGAATATTCTCATGTGTCACCACCCATTAATCATTTGACAATCACAGGTTTAACTTTTCATCATTGAACAAATACTATCACATGGAAATGTCTACCTAAAATATCCAAATTCAATGTTCCCATAGTCATACTGAAATGAAATATGAGTAATGTTTTTTAGCATGCTTAGATTTCTTAGCTTTATGTATTTATAATTAAAATTTTATATGAGGAAGATACTTAAATAAATGAGTCTTAATATATACGAAAATTAAATGTATTGAGTCTGAACCGATATTTTATTTCCCTTGGCATTCCATTTCCTTCAAAAATTCACCAATAATTTCTTTCGTCCTGATTTTCATTCCCGACCTTTTTACAAGTTCGTAATGGTTACTAAAAGAAAATTAAAAGCGAGCATCAGATATGTACCAGATAATTCATGGAGACTGCCTGAACAGAATGATGTGGCTTAAGACCAATCCGTACAATTTTAGGATTGTAGACATGGTCATTTTCATCTCTAATACCTGCAATCAGCAACAGCAATTCAGGATACAAGCATAAACAACAAACAACAACAATATTACCCCAGTGCCGCAAAGGCTCCCACCTACAGTGGAGTAAGGGGGGTTGGATTTATGCAGCCTTACCCATGGACTAACTAAAGCACAGAGAGACTGTTTCTCGATGACCCATGATGAAATTCGCATCGAAAACTGCATGAACTGACGGCAGCTTCATAACAAAGAAGCGCAGACAGTTTAGTGATCCATTTTGCTTTATTCCATCATATTCCCAAGCCAAAAAATAGTAAGTATTTGACTCCATTGGAAATGATGGAAAAACTTCGCATACGAGTATAAAGTAACAAAAAATATGGAGTATATATCAGAAAACCCAGTGCATTCAGGACAAAAAACAAGTTCCCGATGCATTCTTGCTCATAGAGCAGGTGAAGTCATTTAAATTCTCAACATAAGTGAAGACTCTACAAATGGAAAAGGTTGAGAAATTTCGGAAGTAAGAAAAGGAAAGGTTAAAAGAAATAGAAGCCAACAGTGAGAACATTTGCAATGATACCATGCACCAAATAAGATTTTTTTATAGCAGTTCACAGTGGTCTTAGAATTATCTCTATGAAGGAAGACGAAAAGTTACATTATTTAGCCATAGCCATAAACGTCTTGAATTTGATCCACTCAGTTTATTGAAGGTATTCCAATAACTTTCATTAAAGAAATATGTCAATCAATCTACCTTACCGGAATTTAGAACTCGAAGTACAATCTCATCTAGGGCAGAATTTGATGGAGCACAAATTAGAACGCGAACGCGATACTTTCGGCTGGAATTAACCGGTTCTGGTCTCTAAAAAAGTATAGAGTGAGTGAAATCAGATCCCCTGTGCAATCCTACCATGAGTAGAGGTTAGGAAGCATACCAATTCGTTGCCAGATGTCGGGAAAAAACCATCATCGCCGTCTTTAGGCATCTCCTGTTCTCGAGGATTAAGTCCAGTTAACCATGGAGATGCTTTGAGCCAGTGACTGTGTCTGGAATCATTTATTATACATTATAGATCAACGACAGTAAAAGAAATAATGCAGTTACATTTTCAGCAAACATGAAAACCTATTGTAGAACATGTCATTAAGATAGAGTTGTAGACTGCAAACAAAGGCACACGGCTAACGTTTTATCAAGGCAAGGACATCTCTCCATCTATAGAGTACCAAACACCCATCTTTGCAATATTATAATATTAAAGAAATGTAATCATAAGAAGCATAAACCTGATTCTTTGGAACCTAAAGGTATATATTTATAGTTTTCATAATTTCCTGTACTAAACTGTTAAAAAGAAGTAACCCAGTAGAAGGTTTGAAAACCTTTTATGTTTTCAAGTTATTATCAAAGTTATTAAGGGTCCCTCCAGGCTCCAGCTCGAGAAAGTATTCACATCTCTAAACATCGATCCTCAAAATCTAAATTTATGACTTTTTAATGTGAGTCATGTGACTTTTCCAAAGAAGCTTAAATAGGAATTGATATGTTACTCCCTCCGTATTTTAAAGTTTGCTACACTTTCCATTTTTGGATGTATTTAAAAATTTGCTACACTTTTCCTTTTTGGTAAGTTTTTTCCTTTAAAAATACGCAATTACCCTTACTTTTTCTACTTTTTATCTTCTCTTTCATACTTTTCCACCTTCTCTCCTACTTTTTCTACACTACTCATTACCCCTATTATTTCACCCTTAAATGTTGTGTCCAAACCTAATGTAGAGAACTTCAAAATACGGAGGGAGTATAACTTTTTGCACTTTTTTCCTCTGGGTTTGAAGCTTGCACTTTTGGTAAATGTTTTCAGATGGTAACACTCTTTTTACAAGGGTGAATTATAACACTTCTAGTCTTCAGAATATTATAAGAAACTCTTGGTACCCATCTTTGAAATGTTTCACTTTTAGTCATCTGACTATTGTGACAAATGACAATGTGGCTCTTGATCCTCCAACTATTGTGATAGTAACACTTTTGGTCATCCAACTATTGTGACAAAATTAAAAGATGAGTACTAAAAGTATCATTGCCGCAATAGTTAGAGGACTAAGAGTAGAAAAACCCCAATACTCCCTTAGTCCCGTAATGTAAGGTACGTGTGAGTTTTAAGGGGAGAAAAGGAAAAAGTGGTTGTTTAACAATTCTAACCTCCAAAAAGTGATAGGATTCTAGGCTGAAGAAAATAATAATAATAAGAATATTATAATAATATTAAATAATTGTGATAGTATATTAGAGGTCCTGGGCCAGGTATAGTTAACTTTGGGCTGGCCCATAAGTGAGAGTATAAATAGAAGGGAGGGGAAAAGAATAAGGTAGGCAGAACTTGGATTGGACTGGGACTTGGGAGAGACGAGGCACTCTCGAATTTGCTCTCATCTGTATCGTTACTTTCTATTTCTTCAATTTCAGTTTCGTAATCAACGATTCATCGCCAGAATTTGCTCTGATACCACAAGCAAAAATCTGGCGATGAATCATTGATTAGGAAACTGAAATTGAAGAAATAGAAAGTAACGATACAGATGAGAGCAAATTCGAGAGTGCCTCGTCTCTCCCAAGTCCCAGTCCAATCCAAGTTCTGCCTACCTTATTCTTTTCCCCTCCCTTCTATTTATACTCTCACTTATGGGCCAGCCCAAAGTTAACTAATACCTGGCCCAGGACCTCTAATATACTATCACAATTATTTAATATTATTATAATATTCTTATTATTATTTTCTTCAGCCTAGAATCCTATCAAAAAGTAAGAAAAAGTAAGATAAGTCCACAAGTAAAAGGTGAAATGATAGATAAATGGATAAAATAGGAAAGCAAAAAGTTAATGGAGTTCAATTTGGGAAAAGTATTCATATTTTTCGGATAACTCAAAAGGGAAAGTTTATGTACAAGATGGGATGGAGGGAGTACTTAATTATGAGAACACAATAACACCTAGTTATAAAAGAGAAAATTCCCTAAATAGGAGTAAAAAGTTTTGATATTCCAAAATAGGACTGTCGTCTTTTTAATCCCTAAATAGGAGTAATTTCTGCCAAGTTTGGCATTATCAAGCTTTAAACATGGCAATTTCTGCCAAGTTTTTTTCAAACTTGACAAAAATTACTCCTATTTAGGGAATAAAAACATGAAGGTCCTATTTTGGAATTTCAAAACGTTTTTAGTCCTATTCAGGGCAATTTCTATATGTAGGCAATTTCAAAAATGTATATATGTAGACATACTTGTCCTGGATGGATAATTGTGGTCCACATTTTAAAGTATTCAACTTTCCCCTGCACTAATTAAAAAGGTATAAAGTCAGAAAAGCATTATAATATGAACTGATGGGAAATAGACTGTATGAACCACTTACAAGTACTTTATACTTCCTCTGTCACAAAATGATATTCTCTAATTTTGAGTAACAATCAGTAATCAATTCTCCTTTTGGTTCTTGCAATTCAATATAACTTTTAGTTTAGCTTCTAAATATATAAATTTTAGTTACTTGAACTAACTTAAAAATTGGAAGTATCAACTTTATCTTTAGTCAATCTCGTAACTGTATTTTACACATCAATTTGGGACAGAGGGAATAATATACAAACAAGTTTTAGTATACACTAAAATAAGCAGGGAAGAGGACGTTCCAACTCTGTCACATCTTTATGTAACAGAAAATGACAATAACAAGATTCTCACCTCTCGGAGTGTATTTTAGCTGGTGTTGCATGCAAAATTGCACAAAGAAGCCCAATGATAGTTTGTGTTTTTCCAGTTCCTGGGGGGCCCTAAAGTCAAGCATTCTTGTTAAAGGTCACATACTTCTCAATTGACAGCATTTAGGAAAAATACTTCAAGACGAGATATCCAAACAGTAATACATAAGTGATATTATGTTCTCTTAAAATGAACCCTAAAATGTCTTAAAATTGCTTTAAAGTGCTAGCCTACATTTTCTCTTTACCTAAACCAATGGTGCGGCAACATACCATAGCTAATTAGCTACTACAGAAATTAGAAACAAATCCTAATGAGAATATGTTAACCATCACACTCTTGGCCTTTTGTTTCCTTCCAAAATATGAATTATAGAAAATTGAATAGGAACAAACACTTCAGTAAATGGTGAAATCGCAAAAGTTTGATATGGTTGGATGGGAGTCAACTGTCTTTTGATCCTGGGTTTTTGGACACTAGAGATAGCATAGCATAGCATAGCATAGCATAGCATAGCATAGCATAGCATAGCATAGCATAGCATAGCATAGCATAGCATAGCATAGCATAGCATAGCATAGCATAGCATAGCATAGCATAGCATAGCATAGCATAGCATAGCATAGCATAACATAACATAACATAACATAACATAACATAACATAACATAACATAACATAACATAACATAACATAACATAACATAACATAACATAACATAACATAACATAACATAACATAACATAACATAACATAACATAACATAACATAACATAACATAACATAACATAACATAACATAACATAACATAACATAACATAACATAACATAACATAATGCATATTAGAAGTTTAGATCAGGAGCGTAATATATATGTAATATAACAGTGGAAAGTGAAATTTTAGATCAAAAAACTGAAAAAGAAAAGGATGCACCAAACCTGTATTAGCACAAAGGTGTTGCGTGAAAGACCCGCCTGCAGCAAGCAAGTAAATTATCAATTAAATGAAACCTGAATTACAAGATCCATTAGTTAAGGGGATATCATATGGCTATCATGTTTTCCAGATCACAGAAATCTGTAAGCTGCGTAAGAAAAGGATGGAGGATACAAATCCATGCGTTCCTCAGAAACTCACATTGATAGCCTCAAGCTGAGATTTATTGTGATTGGTTTCAATGAACTCCTTCAGAGGTTTTGAAATTTTCCATGCTCGATCATCATTCAAATTGCTTTGAGTTGCAGATAAAATTAAATCCTTAAATGGAAGAGAGCTAATAGACCACAGAGCAACATATTCACGGGCGATAGTTGATAAATTGCATACCTGAAAATTGAAGCAGATAAGAAAATATACCAAACATTAAGCATCTTGACAGAATTCAAAATTGAACCGGGGGCGCTCCAGTAGGTCATAAGGCACTTAGGCCAAACTATACTAAATGATCAAATCCAATTTATTAGGAAGTTTAACCCAATATCTTATGAACACGTCATTTTCTCTTTATTATTCCAATGTGGGACTCTAACAATGCCCTGAAGTGGACTGTCAAATCATTTTGATCCTAATTCATTATTCGCTTGCAATTCTCTTTTTATTCCGATATGGGACTCTAACACTGCCCCGAAGTGGACTGTCAAATCATTTTGAGACAACATATAAAAGACCACAAACAAGATAAATGAGCCATTGGACACCGATTCAATCTAGACGAACAACAGGTCTAAAGATTCATGAACTGTCAGGGATAGACTTCTATATGAAAAGTCAAACAAACAAAGTGGGCCAAAACATGTTCTGGTCTCAAGATAGAGCACAAGGTTGAGTTGGGGTCACTAAAAATCTGAAATGTGTCATAGCTCATAAGGCATGTGGATTAAACTAGATCGACTTGAAGTCTTCTTTACAGATCACTCAGACTTTAATTCTCCCGAGTGAGACTATACCACCTTCTGTGTTATCAATTTATCATTAACGTTTGAAAGTGTGCAATGCAATCGCACCCTGAGGCGAGCCTCACAGATATTTACTCCATATCCGGTAAGAGGTGTATCCAAGTTTACACAATGAATATTCTTACACTTTCCCTACTAAGGCGTATGCAATAGACCCTAAGTCCCTACACAAGAAGGCGGTTCATGAAGCATATATTTCTAACAATGTCAGCAAGGTAGGCTTGGACTTAGAAAGTATAAGTTGGACCCACACTTAAAATCTAGGCCAGAAAGAACTTAAGGCGGCTCAAGTTTAAAACCATCATAACCTTTACGTAAACTCCTGGAGTCCTGCGCAAGCTCCTCCCCTTCATGTTGCTTTGTAATGTGTATTTTTTTATTGCATTTATTTGTATTTTATATATATAAGTTTGTGTAAAAAACTTAAGCTTACACCTCATTGCGCCAATGAGGCTTACGCAGAAAGCAATGCTAAGAAACCGCCGCATATACGCAAAACGCAATTTCAGATATTGTTTATCATATTCGTTTTTGTGTAAGAAGCAAAAGTATGACATTAAGGTATTAATCGGATAATATAGGCCGACTGCAAGGGTGTAGGCATGTCTAAACAAGTTACTTGCTCAATCAGAACTCCCAGTTCACTCACCACCAGAAAACACCAGTCCACGAAACATTAGCAACCAATCCATGATGAGAAACACTTGTTTCTCATACATAAGCCTTGAATAAGAAAATGCATTAGGCATATCTGGAATTCAAACTATCAGAAGTCCTTATATCCCAGTGAACTTTCTTGAAGCACATTAGTCAATTATGATGTTGCTCACTTCATTCCCTCATACCCACTTGCACCCTATGTCCCTATTTGCTTATGATGATCTATGATGTGAGTTTGTGATAAAAATCACTCAAACAAGTTTAACTTCAAAGTCTGTATTTAATCACTACATGAATGACAGAAATGACCAAGGAATCAAATGTCCTGATCACGGTTATATATCTGAGCAGGTAAAAACTCATTGTATCATACTTGCTACCCGTTTTGCTATCGCCAAATTCCTCACGATGAATATTAATACATTGACCTTAGAATGGGTGAGCTACTTTTCCCCAATGCAAGTGACTTACTAATTCTCCAGCCCAACCATGAAATATGTCTTATTTGACCACAGTCCTTTAATGAACAGCATACATACGTTTCCTCAAACACCAGTGAAGTTGTTAACTAGCAAGCCCATTTCGCATTCACACCATCTCACCACCCCAACATTCCAAATAGGACGATGATAGGAGCGGGGGTAGGGTGCGGAAACGGTTGAGAGAATATTGAAATTATCTCAAATGGACCCATAGATTATCCTACCCTTATGCCCTTGGGGCTTGAGAGGAGTTTCCCTTTGCTGAACCCTGACCTGAACCCTGACCTGACCCTCTCCCGGCAAGTCTTCTACTTTACCAAGTATCTGTTGGAGAAAAAAACTACGGAGTAATTTTTATCGAGCAACTAGTGGTGCATATCAGTAAATTTGGTACATAAACAGACAGGTAGCTAGACTCCCCTGAACCCATACCTGACCCTCTTGGCCTCTCCCTGTATGTCTTCTACTTTACCATGTAATAGTTGGAGAAAAAATTAATTTTTAACGAGACACTAACGATGCAATAATGTGCATATCAATAAATTCGGTAAATGAACAGAAAGGTAGCTAAAGAAATTGTGTTACTTTTGGATATTTATATATTTACATTATATCCATGAAAAAAGGTAGCAGGATAAAAAAACGGTTCAATTAAATAATATTCCGTAATAAAGTAGATAGTTTAACATTGATTTAGAACAAATACCTTGAGAAAAAACAATTTCCCTTTGACTTCACTAAAGAGATACCGCATGTTCGAAAGCCTTGAACATTCCACAAGTTTGTCCGTATTCAATTCTTTGAACTCCCCTTTCAAGTGCATCCTAAGTTTTATTTTATCTTGTTGACGATGCTCAACCAATGCAAATGCATATGTTGTTGGGACTGATTTACCCTCTTCAAACTGTAAAAGAAGATACAAGCAACTTAAAGTAAAATAAGAATGGTAAAAAATGTTGCAGAAGAAAATACCTCCTGAAGCACAAAACTGTACAAGAACAGCTTGATTTTTTCAAACTGAAAACTACACTTTAACGAAAAGGGTGCTTTCAAGCGAGCCATGTGAAGTAAAGTTAAACTATATATGAATGAATACCTTCTGATTTGAAACCAGCAATAGATCATTCTGTTTTATTGATCCGGCATCTATACAGATGACCATTGGCAAGTGAAACCCGTCGAGTTCGCTTCTCTCTGCTACCATAGCAAGCACCCACTCTGTTTCTGCAATGATAAAAAAAATTGGACAGAATAAACACATTAGATGCACAACATTGTCCAATGTAGACTTGGAGAAGTTGAGGGGGTATGCATCAAAACAATGATACATAAGGTTCTTAAGTTGACACTCGTGCTCTACCTCCTGCTTTCTGATTCAGGGTGGTGTAATTAAAGGGAAAGAAGTATATTAAGAAAGAACAAACTTTCTTCTCATTAATGCAGGTAAACCATGAGTCCACGACAACATTTCCAAAAGCCAGTTTAATAGAATGTGATCATAATCAAGTCAGTATGCCATATCAGTGTCAGTTTTAAGTCCATTTACAGTAAAGAACCCTCCTTTGAGTAACTTGAGAGAAGATGCCTTCTTATATAATCGGTTGATTCTGTTTCGCTCAAATCCCCTTTCTCTCTAAAGCTGAGCAATGAATGGCTCCACATTTCTACTCAGGTACACAAAACATATACCCATAAATAGTTCACTGCGCACTAGACCAAGTCGGAACCATCTTTATGGAAGAATTTCATTTGCTCCCTTTCCAGCTTTTATTTTTTGGTGTGACTAATTCCTCTCAAAGTCACAATAAAACGAAATAATTTCAATATGCATTAAAGAAGCTGAAAATCAAATCTAGAAACCGTACCTTCTTCATCGTCATCTTTTTTTCCTTTAATAATCTGAGCTTTAGCTTCTTCAAACATAAGAGGCTCAAAAGTAGCAATATAGTCATCAACGTCACTGTACGTGTTCTTCACTTTTCTGACCCCTAGGGCTCTCCCGGTTAGATCATTTTTGTTGCGTCTGTGCTTCTGAATTCCATTCAAAGAGAAAAGAAGAAAAATGGAAGTGAATACCTACCACTTGATCATAAATTGTTATTTAAAATGTGAAGTTTACTTACATCAGAATCATTAAGAAGGCGGAAGTAGTCCCAGCTAAGGATTATTTTGTAGAAACGTGTAATGCAAGCTTGATGACCTTCACCGAGCGCGCTCTTGTCAACCGCCATTACAGGCTCGGCGGCAGATAGGTAAAAGTGTGTATAACTGCTCTGGAATCGGCGCAGGGCTATGGGCGTGTTGAGACTTCAGAAATAGCTTGAGAGGGGTAATAGACTTGGCGCGGATTGAGCCTTTATTATTAATTAATTAATTAATTAAAACTAATTCGGATGTTTTTATAGATGCAACGCGGGTCGCGGCAGGAACAAGCCCAAAGCACGTAAAAAGGCCGGTGGAAATTACCCATACGGTCGACTATTATGTGCTACATATCATTTATGTCCTAGCTGTTTTTCTTTTTCATTTTTAACCTTTTGAGTTTTCAATTACTCCCTCCGTCCCTAAATAAACTTCCAACTTTTCTTTTTCGTATGTCCCAATTAAAATTTTCACTTTCCCTTTTTGGCCAGAATGTGTGGTTCACAACAATTCTTATACATTTCTCTCTCCTCTGCACAACTCTCCACCACATAATACTCACTATCTTAAACTGTATGCCAAACCTATTTGGAAGTTTAACAAGGGAGGAAGGGAGTATGTTTTATTATTTCACATTAGTCTATTCTTTCTATTCTACCTATTCTTATACCAGAGAGAGAGACGCAGGCGGATTCCAACGAGAATCGTTGGAACACCGCCTGATGGAGTATATGGCCCAGGAACCCCCGGCCCATAGACTCCTACTTCTCCTACACAAGTCCATTGAGCTCAGGAAACAACTCAGGCCCAAATACAACGGCCCAAGCCTCATAGAAGCCCAGAATACACACTGGGGTGCCTTCGGCCTCCTAGGCCGAAGGCTCCAGAAACTCACGAAGTAGCCCTCTCTGACATACGAAGCTACTGGAAGAAAACGGCGAAAAACATGAGCCTTCGGCATTACCAAGCCCTCGGCATTAGGGAAGCCTTCGGCTGAACTTAGCCCTCTGCCACTCGGGCCTTCGGCTACACAGGGGTCCTTGGCTACATGGAGCCCTCGGCCACACAAGGAGCCTTCGGCCAAACACTCTCAATCATCGAAGATTCCTTTTAGAGACAGCCAACCACCGCATTTAATGCCACGTCGCATCCGCCAACCGCATTCAATGCGGTGAACGTACCACTGCCGGTGCCACCCGGTTGATGTGACCCTTCGGCCGTTAGATTACTGACACGTGTACTCTCATCGCATTTATTGCTGCTATAAATAGCAGCCCATTTCTCCTTGTAATCGACATCTACATCTCAACTCCAAACGCTGAGTTCATTTAATAAGATCGACTCTCTCTCCTCCTATTTATTCTGACTTCTCTCTAGTTATTATCGCAATAACCCCTCGGATAAGATACCCCCGGGTAGACTATCCATCACCGCCTATAGAGCAAGGTCGCGCGAAGTGGAGATCGGCGCTGGAGAACGAGCTGTGAAGCGGAGGCTCTGAGAAGCGGCGGCTCTGAGAAGCGGCGGGCGGCGTTATAACAGAAGCGGCGGAGTTCATACTCAGGACTATTTGCCGGTGGCCGCTGAGTTGGTCCGCCCTTGGGCTGGCAGGTTCTTCATTCCAGATCTATTTTCCTTTTCCAAGCAGATCTGTAATTCTAGACCTGTTTTCCTTTTCCAAGCAGTTTTTCCTTTTTTTGCAGAAATTAATTTCCATTTTTTTGGAATTCCTTTTGGCTGAGTTTTGAATTTGTCGAGTAAAAAAAACTAATAGGTGCACCGAAAGACGCACTTAATTAGCGGCAATCCCTGCTGGTTGGAGCGATTCTCATTCAGGTTGACAATTTTTCGTGATGTATTTTTTTGATTTTTTAAAAATATTTGTTTCATATACTGCTAAGTGATGTCATTTGCCTGTTTAGAATAATAATTGTTTGGTTGTTTGCACATTTACGGCACTTAATTTGAGATTTTTGTGAATGCAAGAGTTGTATTAGATGCCTCCATTATTTGACAGGTCAATTTTGATGGCATGAGTTAGTTAGTTGAGAGGTTGACAATATTTGACAGGTTAAGGGAATGACTTATTTGACAGGTTTGACATTATTTGACAGTTAATTAGGCATGAGAGCTCTTACAAGTTGTAAATAGAGCTATTTGTTAACAAATTACATACATCTTTCTAGAAAAATAGGGAATGTTTCACTTTTGGTGAGCTATGAATGTACCCAGGTCATTAGGAGTTCAAATGAGAAAAGATAGGTTGCTTAACAGTAGCCTACTTTAAGAATCTAAGAACAAAATTTTCTTGGATTGCCTATACCCAGAGGCACATTTGTTTTCACAGAACAGAAGTTTTCAGTTGGGTTTTCATAATGGGTTTTCAGGCTTTACTCTGTGTAGCAATACCAGGGTACAACACTCTGCTACTAGAAATATATATCATAACAACGATAAACATGAGATGCTACTAATTATTTTCAGAATATATATAATAACAAGAATTAAATTGAGTTAAAAAAACCAGAACTATGTGTTGTCAAGGGGTTTGCTTTAGAGTGTAGAGATGGTGGAATATAGAAGCAACTCTGCATTAAAAAATACAGCCAAATAGAGTATTAACATTTACATATGTGTTGTCATCGATGAGCATAGCGTAGTCAACTAACTAAGATACCCTAGCATATTTATTCCATTTTTGTTACTTTTGATACATAGAAATTGATAGCCGTATTTTTCATTTTTCATCAAATGCTGATAGATATGTTGCTCGTGTTGCAGCCATGTTGGAAATGATGGAGCCATTTTCTAGTGTTATGGACAAGATTTAGTATAGTATGATTACATATGTGAGGAGAAAGACCTTCAACCCGGGAGAATGTCTTAATAGCTACAAGTGGGTCTTCTTCGACCGGGGAGAATGTCTTAATAGCTAAAAGTGATCACCGTGCTTCCATAAGGCAAACCTACACTAGTGCAAGTATGAGTGACATACGGGAGAAGAAATGAGAAGAAGCAAAACCAAATAATATGATAGATAAATGTAGTACTCTGTATTATATTTTGTTGCTTTTTGTTGTCCCACATGTATTGCGTCTTGTTGCATTGTGTTGCATTTTGTTGATTTTTGTTGCATTGTGTTTCTTATTGTTGTTTATTGTTGATTTAGATTTTTTTGTTTATTTCGATTTCTATTTATTTTTCTACTTTCTTAAAATAGAAATATCTAGATAGATTTAGATACAAACACTAAAAATGTTAAATTTGATTTATGAATATGAAAAAAAACTATAAACATAAAGAAACAATAAAAAACAAAAATTTCAGAAATGTCAACAAAAAGAAACACAAAGAAACCATATGCAACAAAAACTAAAAATAAAAAGATAATAATAATAATAATAATAATAATAATAATAATAATAATAATAATAATAATAATAATAATTATAATAATAATAATTATAATAATAATAATAATAATTATAATAATAATAATTATAATAATAATAATTATAATAATAATAATTATAATAATAATAATTATAATAATAATAATAATAATAATAATAATAATAATAATAATAATAATAATAATAATAATAACAATAATAATAATAACAATAATAATAATAACAATAAAAATAACAATAACAATAACAATAACAATAACAATAACAATAACAATAACAATAACAATAACAATAACAATAACAATAACAATAACAATAACAATAACAATAACAATAACAATAACAATAACAATAACAATAACAATAACAATAACAATAACAATAACAATAACAATAACAATAACAATAACAATAACAATAACAATAACAATAACAATAACAATAACAATAACAATAACAATAACAATAACAATAACAATAACAATAACAATAACAATAACAATAACAATAACAATAACAATAACAATAACAATAACAATAACAATAACAATAACAATAACAATAACAATAACAATAACAATAACAATAACAATAACAATAACAATAACAATAACAATAACAATAACAATAACAATAACAATAACAATAACAATAACAATAACAATAACAATAACAATAACAATAACAATAACAATAACAATAACAATAACAATAACAATAACAATAACAATAACAATAACAATAACAATAACAATAACAATAACAATAACAATAACAATAACAATAACAATAACAATAACAATAACAATAACAATAACAATAACAATAACAATAACAATAACAATAACAATAACAATAACAATAACAATAACAATAACAATAACAATAACAATAACAATAACAATAACAATAACAATAACAATAACAATAACAATAACAATAACAATAACAATAACAATAACAATAACAATAACAATAACAATAACAATAACAATAACAATAACAATAACAATAACAATAACAATAACAATAACAATAACAATAACAATAACAATAACAATAACAATAACAATAACAATAACAATAACAATAACAATAACAATAACAATAACAATAACAATAACAATAACAATAACAATAACAATAACAATAACAATAACAATAACAATAACAATAACAATAACAATAACAATAACAATAACAATAACAATAACAATAACAATAACAATAACAATAACAATAACAATAACAATAACAATAACAATAACAATAACAATAACAATAACAATAACAATAACAATAACAATAACAATAACAATAACAATAACAATAACAATAACAATAACAATAACAATAACAATAACAATAACAATAACAATAACAATAACAATAACAATAACAATAACAATAACAATAACAATAACAATAACAATAACAATAACAATAACAATAACAATAACAATAACAATAACAATAACAATAACAATAACAATAACAATAACAATAACAATAACAATAACAATAACAATAACAATAACAATAACAATAACAATAACAATAACAATAACAATAATAATAATAATAATAATAATAATAATAATAATAATAATAATAATAATAATAATAATAATAATAATAATAATAATAATAATAATAATAATAATAATAATAATAATAATAATAATAATAATAATAATAATAATAATAATAATAATAATAATAATAATAATAATAATAATAATAATAATAATAATAATAATAATAATTCAAAGGTTAAAATAAAATATTTGACAGTCAAATAATTGCTTCTTGAACTTCTTAATCCACAAATCTCTA